ATATGAACAGGAGCAAAGCAGCACATGACATGTTAGCCGCAACAGCAGGGCAGCTGGACGCTGACATATTGATAATATCAGAACCAAATCAGAAGAGAGTCAAACACCCATCATGGTACGTGGACACGAGAACGGACGCCACAATAAACCTGAGGAACTGCAACATCCCCTGCCTAAGATCAGGATCCGGCGACGGATTCTCGTGGACTGAGCTCCAACAAATCACAATCGTTAGCTGTTACCTCTCCCCAAACGTCAGCCTAGACAGCTTCAACACAATCTTGAACCACCTGGGAGCCTTTCTGGACTCAACAAAGAAGGATGTTATTATTGCTGGACATTTCAATGCCTGGGCAACCGAATGGGGGATGAGAAAAAACGATGCGAAAGGAAACAGCCTCCTGGAGTGGATGGCAACAAAAAACCTTGTGCTCCAAAACAACGGCAACGAACCCACCTTCGCGAGGGAAGAGGCCAGCTCGATTGTAGATATGACAATGACAAGGGGAGATGTCAGCGCCAGGCTCAAGGGCTGGAGGGTGCTTGATCTGGAATCATTGAGCGATCACAGGTACATAAGAACAGGACAACGCAAGACAAAAACAACGAGACTAGAAGGAAGTGGAACTATAAAAAAATAAATTTAGAGCGGCTACAGGAAGCGATCACCTCAGCAGAGCGGAAACCCCCACCAGAGACGGCTGACCAATTAAACCAAATGATGACGACAATATGTAACTCTTCAATGCCTAAGACAAAGACCAATCCCTACAACAAGAAACCTGTCTACTGGTGGACGGAAGACATCGCAAAACTAAGGAAAACCTGCCTTGCGCTGAAGAGAAAAATGACAAGAAACAACCGCAGTGCCTCCACAAGAACGCCCACAGACAAAGAAAACTTCGCGAACTACAAAAGGCAACTAAAACTGGCTATAAACAACTCGAAAAAAGAATGCTGGAAGAAATTGTGCGACGAGATAAACGAGGACTGCTGGGGTGCCGGATACAAGATTGCGACAAAGAGGCTGAAAATAGGAGGCGGAAACAGAGCGCTAACAATGTCAAAAGCCTTAGAAGTGGCCGATAGTCTCTTTCCAACCAAACCTCTCTATAACTGGGAACAAACGATTCAAAACAAAGCAGAAATACCAGAATTGACTAATGAGGAAGTGAAGACGGCAAGCCGAAAGCTAAAAGCAAACAAAGCCCCAGGAATGGATGGCATCCCAGCAGAGATCCTGAAACTGATAATAGAGGAAAAACCACAACTAATCAGGAAGCCCCTCAACAACATGATAGAAAAGGGGCAATTTCCTCGCACATGGAAAACTGCAAACTTGGTCCTGATAGAGAAGCCTAAGAAAACTCCAAATGACACACCAAAATATAGACCCCTATGTCTCCTAAACACAAGTGGGAAACTTTTCGAACACATCATTCTGGCAAGACTGAGCGATAACTTGAATCTAGCGACCACACTCAGCGATAGGCAGTTTGGCTACAGGAAGGGAAAATCCACGACATCGGCAATACAGGGAGTCTTAAACACAATCAAGCCCCACTTATACAAAAAAAGCCATAGACACAGACGCATCGGCGCAGTTGTCACACTCGACATCAAAAACGCCTTCAACTCGGCTTCCTGGCAGGTGATTGTGAGCGAGCTGAAGCAGAGAGGGGCAGCGGCATATATAGTTAACTTAATACAGGACTACTTTACTGATAGAACCATAGTAGTGGAAGCGGAAGGAAGAAAGGAGAGCTTCAACATGACCTGCGGGGTCCCTCAAGGCTCCGTACTTGGCCCCACTCTTTGGAACATATTATATGACGGCCTGCTGAAACTAGACCAACCGGAAGGAGTTTCCCTGATCGGATATGCTGACGATGTGGCCATGACTGTCCTGGCCAAAGACATAGACGAGCTGGAGAAGAAGATAGAGAGGTCAATGCTTGGAATCAGGAGCTGGCTGCAAGCAAATGACCTGGAGCTAGCAGAAGAGAAAACCGAAGTGATAATCTTAACTTCGAAAAGAACCGTCCCCCACAGAAACCTGAACATCCTAGGTAGGACGATAACACCTAAGCCTGAAATCAAATACTTAGGAGTCTGGCTCGACAGCAAACTCACCCCCACCTAAAAAATACAGCAACAAAAGCCAGCAACACTGTAGCGACTCTGTCAAGACTTATGCCAAACGTTAGGGGACCCGCCCCTAGCAAAAGGCGGCTGCTCTGCTCGGTGGCAAGATCAATACTCTTATACGCGGCCCCCGCTTGGGGACATATCATGCACCTGGAGAAGTATCGAAACATATACTCGAGAGTACAGAGACAGGCTGCACTACGAATCTGCAGTGCATACCGGACTTCTTCAACAGACGCCATTCTCGTAATAGCGGAAATTCCCCCAATAGATCTCCTGATAAGGCAAACCATGCACATAGCACGAGCATCTCCCTCAGACAAAAATACTGCACGAGCTGAGGCTGCGGAGGCCTTAGAAACAGATTGGCAAGCGAGATGGCAAGAATCAGAAAAAGGGCGATGGACCCATAGGCTGATCCCCAACATTTCGAAATGGATTAACAGGAAGCATGGCGAAATAGACTTTCATCTGACTCAATTGCTGACAGGACACGGCTGCTTCCGAGAGTATACCTACAATATAAACAAGACTGAGGACAAGGAATGCGTATACTGCGGAGAAGTGGACACTGCCGAACACACCTTTTTCCACTGCCAACGGTGGCTCAAAACCCGACAAACATGTACTGACAGCATTGGACCAACCACACCGGAAGACATAGTGGACAAAATGATAAACAGCGCTGAGAACTGGGACATAATCAAGGAAATGGTATGTAAAATTTTAAAGGAAAAAATAGAAGACGAGAACACACAAACACCAGAATACCGAAACGAATAAATCGCCTGCAAAACACACAAGGATAATTCCGCGACCCCCCTGAAGTAATACGAAAGTGGTCCCGGGGGGGATATGCGAAGAGTAGGGGAAGGGTTTTAGTGGGTGGGAGTCCCACACTCCCCAGGGCGCCCGAACACCAAGGCCCTGGGCGTGCATAATGCATTTCCAATCCCTACTATAAAAAAAAAGGGTTAGTTTGGGTTCCCCTCCAAGGAGCTGTGAGACCTTGTCGTTGGTGGAGGGGCACAGCGACTGACCGTGCATTTGACTGGTCAGTCGTTGCTAAGGACAGCTCAACCTCAGGGACCCGCACTGCGGACACGGGCGTGGCAAACCCGAGGCACCCTAGCTGGGCTCTCACCCTACACCCGGGGCGATCCCTTACCCTTACCCTCAAAAAAAAAAAAAACCCTAATCCCACCTTCTCCCCACCACACACAACCCCCCCGATGCTATTAGGTTACCCGAGGGCTAGGGGCTTCCCCGTTTTTTCCCCAAAATGGAACAAAATATTATGATGGAAGGCAAAGAAATGGAAATCGAGTTTACGGTGCAGGGGGGGGGATACCCCAGTACCGGTCGGGAAAACTGGTGGAGGTGCAGGCCAGACCCGACCGTCAACCGACGACTGTACAGCGCCCCCGGTAGGGAACCAGGCCGGGGCGCAAGTGCCAACGACTGGAACTAAGGGGGAAGGGTGGTCTATCCTCATGGGGAGAAGGAACTCCCTAGCGAGATCGCCACCCCGAAGAAGGAACTCGGTTGCAGATGAAGGCGGCCCCAAGGACTCTGATGGGGGGGAAAAAAAGATCCAAAATAAAGAGAGCCAAAAGAACACTTTAACGGATGAAAGTGTTTTTGTTGTAGAAAAACGGAAAGACGAAGCACCCCCGCGAGAACGAGCAATCTCGGTACCAAGTCTGGTAAGAAACGAGATCATAGATCTAGATGAAGAAGAAGATAGCCAAATAGGAAAAAGAAAGCGAAACGAACGCATAGACGAGATAGAGCATAAAACAAAAGAAAGTCCGGAATACTTATTACTAAAAAAGGTAATGGCGGAAATCACAAAACTTAACACTGCATTAAAGAAAAACGTGGAAAAAAATACAAAAAAGGAAATTAAAGCCATTGCGCAAGGACTCGATACACAAATCGCAGTACTAAACGGAACTCGCATGAAGGCATTAATGGAAGAACTCAGAGTCGGGAAGACGGAAAACATACCCATGGACTCCGATATTCAAACACGTCCTGATAAGGTGCAAATAAGTTACGTTAACACGCCCTGTACCAGGTGCGAAAACCTTCGAAAGTCAGAGGAGGAGGCTACAGATACTAAAAATACTAGTCCACACCTGGAAAAGAAAAAAGAAAAGACAACTTGCGAACAAAGTACACAGACAGGAGATTTCACACTACAAGGCACGGATACATACCAGAAATGGATACTAGCGGAAAAAGAAAGTTGGCCTCAACACACATTCCAAAATACGGAAGTTATTATAGGAAATCCATTGAACACAGACCTGGAGACCTTAAAGGTGGTAATCACAGAAAAAGAAGATCCTAACATGGAGAAGGGCATACAGGCTCTATATAGGTCGAGATTCCCTGGTATCGAAAACCTCAATGAGGAATATGAGGAACTGGAGCAGACAACAAAGGCCAAAATCAACGGAGAGATGAAGACAACCACACAGAAGGTCATCAAGATCAATGCAGGTATAAATGGAGAGGACCTGTGGAAACAGCTGATGAGGTCGAAAGAAGAAAATCCGGACACCTAGCGATGGCTACAAACCATATAGAGACTATGCCATTAATACAGCTTCAAAAGATGGTTGAAGCCGTCTTCTATGGAACAAAAACGAAGATAAGTATATACACTACTAAGAGAAGAAATGAGGAAGAACAATATACATCAACCCCCGGTATCAAAAGATCCGAGCGACAAACATATGCCCCGATTGTGGATTGATGAGAGACGTCAAAGATAAAATCACTAAAATGGAGAACAAAGACAAGACCTGGGACTCAGAAACACCAAAGAAGGGAAACTAATAATCATGATGGAAAAGGACGAAGCATCGGCAAAAATGCTAAATAAAACAATAAAGGAGTTATCAGGCAACATAAACACGAGAATGAGTGGCATCCCCAAATCGGCCAATGAAACCATATACATTAGAGGGATGGATTCCATCACCACGAAGGAGGAAGTTCTACAAGCAATAGAAGGCATAACGGGTACTTTGAAGGACCCAAACTACAGGCTGAGCGAAATTAGACCACAGCAAAACGGAACGCAGGCGATAACTCTGACGATTGACAAAGAGCTAGCGGAGAAACTATATGCGACAAAATACTTAAGAATAGGGGTGGTGAGATGCAGTATGGAGAAGAGGCATTATGTGGAAAGATGCCCTAAGTGCTGGTCGCACGATCATAGCACAGACAAATGCCAGGGACCGGATAGGACAAGCGCGTGTTTCAGGTGTGGTGGAACGGGACATCAGGTAAAGAACTGTACAGAAGAAGAAAACTGCCCAGTCTGTGGAACCAAGGGCCATAGGGCTGGTACGGCTAAGTGCGCGTCCTTTAAGAAGTCTTTGAAGACAGTCAGGAACATCGAGAGACAAGCGAGTAGGAGGGATGAGCTTCAAGATGCCTCCTAAAATAAGAGCCGCACAGCTTAACTTCAACAGGTGTCACGCAATACACGACTTGACGCACAAATTTGCCATAGAGGAAAACCTCGACCTATTAATAGGTAGCGAGCCCAACAAGAAAAGAGCGGAGAACCTCCTGTGCGACACCGAATGCGACTGCTTTATACAAGTCTTCACACCCACAGATCTGCCCGTTGGAAAGTACGTTTCCGGAAAGGCTTTGTATATTTAGAATGGGGAGAATATGCAGTCATATCTTGCTACTTCTCACCTAACGGAGAACTGGAAGATTTCGAGACACTATTACAAGAAATGGAAGGGCACGTCCGCGCTGCTGCAAATACAAAAAAGATTGTAATAGGAGGGGACCTAAACGCCAAAACACCGGCAATAGGGTCCACAGAAAGAAACCAAAGGGGAGGTCTCCTAGAGGACTGGTTGGGGGCAAATACCCTTATTACAATGAATGAAGAAGGCACGCCTACTTTCGTACGGGGGGCCTCTAAATCAGTAATTGACTTCACAGCAGTATCTGAAAACTTGGCAAATGGCGTTAAGGAGTGGAAGGTTCTCACAGACGCCGAGAACATGAGCGACCATAAAACCATAAGATGGGACATAGACGTGACACCTGGGAAGAAAACCAAGCTAGAGGAAAATAAGGCCGAAGACAGGATCAGATGGAAACTGATACCGGACAGACTAGCGGCGATGGCGAGAGCTTTCTCAGTAGAAGCCATGGACAGAGCCAACATGAATGCGGATAGTGTTACCTCACTAATAACGGATATGTGCGAGAGGTTCCTGAAAAGGAAAGCTGGACCGAAAAGGCACGGAACTGTCTACTGGTGGAATATGGAGATTGCGAACAAAAGGAAGACGTGTACTGAGTTAAGGAGGAAGCTGGGCAGAGCTAATAAGAGAAACGATAGAGAGACAGCCGAGAGATTAAGAACTGAACACAAGGAGGCGAAAAAAACGATGAGGGCAGCAATAGAGAAGAGCAAGAGAGAGAAATGGAGGGAGGTATGCAATGAACTGGACGAGGATGTATGGGGCAAAGGGTATCAGCTGGTGACGAGAAGGCTCAAGCTGAGACCAAACCTCCCACTCAGCAGGGAAACTGTGAATGTACAGGTGGAAAAACTATTCCCGAAGGGGGTGGCGCCAATATGGGACGTAGACATGATCACAAGGGCAGAAATAAAGAAGTGGAAGACCAAGGATATAAAAGAAGCCACTAAAGACCTGAAAAAGAAGAAAGCCCCGGGCACGGATAACATCCCATCGGAAGTGCTGAAAGCGTGCATAGAAGAAGACACACCACTGTTCCTTAAAATATATAACAACTGCCTTGAAGAGGGTATCTTCCCAGACTGCTGGAAAGTTGCAAAACTATGCCTCATCGAGAAGCCTAAGAAGAACATGGGGGCACTCCCGGCTTACAGACCGATTAGCCTGATAAACACAGGGGGAAAATTCCTAGAGATTTTAATAAAGAGAAGACTGTTGACCAAAATTGAAGAGAAAAACCTGATAAACAAGCACCAATTCGGATACCAGAAAGGCAAATCTACCATAGATGCCGTGAGCACAATACAAAAAATAGCTGAGGACATAAATGAGAAAGCCTGTAAGAACAGGGAGTTCTGCGTCATGGTGCTCCTAGACATAGAGAATGCCTTTAACACGGTGCCGTGGAAGGGTATCATCGACACCCTGACAAAAGGAGGCGTAAGCAAGGATTTAATAAGGATCATCAAATCATACTTAAGTAATAGAACCATAATTACACCAGCCGGGGATTCAGTGAAGGTCTCCTGCGGGGTTCCACAGGGCTCTATAATAGGACCAATCCTGTGGAACCTTTTCTACGATAAAATATTGAGAATGAATTTGGGTAGAGAAGCGAACATAGTGGCCTATGCGGACGATCTAGCGATAACCATAAGGGCTAAAGACAAAGCTACGCTCGAGGACAGAGCACAATCTACAGTGGCTAAGGTAATAAACAGATTGAACGATATGGGACTCAAAGTGGCAACAGCCAAAACAGAGATGGTGCTCCTGGCAGGCAGACGAAAGATTAGAGAACTAGATATTATGATAGAAACAGAAATAGTTGAAAAGTCAAGCCCGGTCAGGTACCTAGGGGTCCACCTTGACACAGATCTCAAGATGACAAAACATATAATAAAAATTACGGAAAAAGCGAACACGATGATCAACTGCCTAAATCGAATCCTCCCTAAATTCGAAGGGCCACGACCATCGAAGAGAAGACTTCTAGCCAGCACGGTACAGTCAGTGATACTGTACGCGGCACCCACGTGGATTAAAGCGACGAAACACAGGAAATACGTGAACATGTTGGAAAAAGTAAATAGAAGGCTGTGTATCAGTATAGCGTCTGCCTACCGCACGGTGCCGACGGAGGCAATACAGGTGATAGCGGGGACGATGCCCCTAGACATTCTGGCTAGAGAGAGAACAGACATACATGCAAGAGGTAGAGAATACAGGCAGGAGGCACGCCAAAACTCAAGGGACAAATGGAGTCTGAGATGGCAGGCTTATCAGGAATGGGCCAAGTACTTTGTACCGGATCTAGACAAGTGGCTAGATAGGAAGTGGGGGGACGTAAATTATTACGTCACTCAGGCGATGACCGGGCATGGCGTTTTCAACAGCTACTTAAAGAGGATAAGGAAGAGGGACAGCGATGAATGTTGGTTCTGCCCTATGGAGGACACTCCAGAACACACGCTGTTTAAATGCACAAAGTTCGAAGACATTAGGAGAGTGGCCGAGATAGTTTGCGGTGCGGAAATTAGCAAGGAAAATGTGGGTGCCTGATGGTCAGGAGAACAGAGGATTGGTACGCAATAACGAACATGATTGAAGAAATTATGAAGGCGAAAGCCGCAGAAGAGCGGGAACGCGAACAGGTCCAATAGACTGAAGATAGATAGAGGCATAGACAACAAGAAGTATGCCGTTTGGTGTTTCCAGGTACACTAGAAGAAGGGGGTTTTTTTAGTCGGTAGGTCGACCTCTGCTAGAGGCCGGAATCCGACACTACCCGACCGACAGAACAGCAGGTTGGGTGTCTTTTTAGAAGATTTTTTCCCCCCGCCAAAAAAAAAAAAAAAAAAAAGGGTTAGTTTGGGTTAGTTTGGAGCTGCGCTTCAAAATTCGAGAAATATATTTAACTGTCACCCCTGTGATGCTGAATTATTTTCGTAGAGCCTTCTATGATTGTTTAGGTGATTTATCTCAAGAAGGTGGACTGTTTGAACATTTGCTACATAATATTATCTGTTAAGAACTTTTGTTTTTATTCCACTTAATTTTTCTTCTATTTTTTATGTTGAATACATTTTTAGTTTTTCCTGGATGGCTTTTTTAAAATACATGTTTTCTTTCCATAGAATATGAACAATACTAGTATTATTGTTTCGGTTCGAAAAAAAATCTATCTACAGGCCTACATTTAATTATAAGTAAGTAAAGCTCGACAAATCGATACATCTAAATGCACGGTCCAGATGCTACGTTTTGCATAACGTTTTGTTTGCACAGTTCAACACGTGAGCAGCAATCAGTAATGTAGCGTCTGGACCGGGCTTAAGTCTTTAAAATCATAAAACGTACTGATGTGAACCATGGCTTGTGAACAAACTCAACGAATGTCAAAGTCATTAAAAAAACGACAGCAAACCGACAGCGACAGGTGTTCAACCGGCTGCGGACGATCGTAAATTCGTCAAGTTGGATCCTATATACCTAGTAGCCTGCCCCTTACTGTATATTTTTTTTACACTCAGGCTTTAATAACATCAAGGCTAATTTAATAAACAAAAATGAGTGTAGACAGTTGTTACAATTATTTTTGGATTACCTCCTTTTCAGATTCCTTTGGTTATACATTTTTTCGATAAGGTTCATTTGAGGATTTGGAACTTAAAATTTAAATCTTCTGGCGCCCACTAAAGACACTCCTTACTCACCCTAATTTTGCTCTCTGGTGAACAGCTGCCACTGTAGTACCCTTTTTGGTAAAAAAAGAGGCTACATAAATGGACGCCCAATTGTGGGGCTCGAGTGTCTTTAAAAATTTTCTGAAAATTGTAACAACTATCTTTACTTGTTCTCTAGTTTCTTATAACATACTTATGTCTATCTACCATTGTTCTTTAAATTGGTTTACGTAGATGACTATTTTTTTACCTGCACTCCTAGTTTTTGAAATTTTAGTTTTTGAAATTTTTTTGAGTTGAAAGTTCAACTTATTATTGAAATGATCCTTTAATTGCGATTGATTTGAAATTCCAATTTATTACCTTACATGTTTACAGTACCTATATGTTTACCTATATGTTTACCTTATATATTTGCCTTTTTGCTATTAATAGTTTTTAGATATTTTGATAGCATTGCTATTTACCTGATTTTGACCGTGAATATTTTCTTTTAATTTTTTGCCTGCAAAACTTTTATCTTGGTACCACATCAATAATACTGGTTCCCTGAAATTTTTGATATAAATACTTAAGAGTCCTTACACTGAATATTTCTTTCAATTGAATTTTTCAATTTATCTTTCTCACTCAATTATTTTTCTATCTATGACTATTATTTTTCTTTCAATGTGGCTTTCTTTTCTGTCAATCATCTGTTCGATTACGAACTCGATTACGAGCTAGCCATTAGGAGCGTTGAAACGGTTCGTAATGTAACTGATAAACGTGAAATGCTTACTAAATTATTGAGGAAAGAAAGAAATGCTAATGATCCTGGGTCTCAAGTTCATTTTGATGAATATGATTATGATTTTAGAACTGAAG